ATTGAGTATTGTTATTATATCAGTATCTTAGTACACTCAGTCGCTTCACCAGTATAGGGAGAGCCTAATTCATGATTCACTATCGTAATTATTGGTATTCAATAAATGAGATTAGCAGCTTCCAGTTTTAAATGCACTCAGTATTTTGCAAACTAGAAGACATTAACTTATGCCATCTGTGGCATCACCACAATATCCGGTTTTCGACTGTACTGTGCTGTAGTCCGCTTTATTCTACTGTATGGCTGGGAAAAATGGTCAGTATGGGTAGACGGCACGAGAAGACTTCAAGTATTTGATCACTGTTACCTTAGTAGCATAGGCTGTCTCGTGGTGTCACCATGTGAGTAATGTAGAAGACGGGTGTAGAGTTTAAGGGAGGAGAGGAAAGTCGGTCAATGCGGTTGTGAACCTGAAATGGCTGACGCATGCGTTACGCATGTCTAGTCAACATCTACCACATTGCGTAAAGTTGACTGAAGTAGGTTCTAGCCAAAAAAAGGCTCCGGGTGATCATTGAATGAATGCATGAAATCTTTGGCTGGTGCTCTGAGGCATGAGGGAGATGCATACTAGTCTAGGTTTCGTGCGACAGCAAAAACCAGTGGTCAGAGACTCTATGTGACATGGATCAGAATCAGTGTCAGCGGTGCAGACGTATCCATGCATAGTCTTAGTGGCTTTACTTAATTCAGCATATTATGATTCCTTCTTTCTCTCTTCTACTGCTTTCTTCTGAATTTGACTGGTTCTTATTTAATTTATTCACCTTTCATCCTACTGCTTTCTTTCTTGACCTGCTGATATCAGGTATGGCAACTTGAATAATTACGCAGTAATGCCTAATCCTATGTTGTTATTGATTATGAAGACAATAAAACTAGAAGGCAAACTGCATAAAACAAATAGAGGGCTGAAACAGTGTACTTAAAGATATCTCAGAATAGCTTACCGTCACTCAACGGGTGTCTAAAATTCGAGAAGGGTGATCATTTCGTACTATTTAACTCACCCCATACTTAGAAAACAAAATGGACATAGAGTTGTGGGAAAAAAGCTAAATAATTCCTACCAACGATGATGAAAAGATTTGTACTAAGCTATATCAAGAATATTTCAGCAGTTAAGAAAAGCCTACCATAGCTCTTCTGAAAACACATAGTTCACAAACTCAAGATTCTGTAACTAAGCATTTTATGCTAACCAAACAAATCTGTATGCAGTAATCGGGCATCATACTATTCACACCACCGCATACTTTTTAATAAGTAATTCCGAATTGGAAATTTTAAATAAAGTTCTGAGAAGTAGCATGCAAAAAATAGTCATTCCCCAACTGCGTTGACATTCAGAAATCAAGAATTAATGAAGATACGTCAATTCCAGGAAGTAGACAAAGCCAAGCAGTCATAAGGAATAAACCATTCAGAGTCCGAATTGTGAGAGACGAGATGAAACAACCAGTCAGCCATGGAGAATAGATTGCTGGATTACTACCGGCAAAAAATCGCAGTCTCTATAAAGTTTCTAGTTATAGCGTATATAATAATTAGAATGTCTAGACGATATTATCTACAATTTTTGCATCTTGAGCTGCGTATATTCTGTAGATCTATATTCAGGAAAAAAATAATTGCCACCAGGCTTGGAAATAAGTTTTCCCGATAAGTGGTAGCCAGTTAAAATCTTGGGAGAAAAAACATGGCTTCCAACCGATCGACTCCTGACATCTGACAGATTCAATGGAAGTTTCCTATTTATTGTTTGAGTGAAGTGATCACTCTTATGCGTATTATCTGTATTTACCTCTCAAATCTTCCTGTGGCATATGTATATAGTATTACTGTTGAAAGTCTTGTATCAAGAAGTTTCCATTTATATGGACTGCAGTGAAACATAGAAAGCTTTTGTTGATGAAATTCAACTTAGTAATGAATTTTTCATCATTACGCAATCAAATTTGTGATATGCACTTATAAGAATGTTCAACCTGAACTGCAGATCAACTGTATGACGTCTAGAGTGACTTATTAATGACTTTTCAGGGATTTTCATGACAGGAATATTCACTAATACAGATCTGTGTTGAGTTAGTTTTGTGATTATCTTACTCATCAATTAGCTGATTAGTTCTGTTAATTTCAACTGAACTGTCTTCCCTGAGTCATCTTATTGGTTTAGACTAATTCACTATAGGTTTTTACGAATTTTGGTGTAGTGTGCCTTGAGTCAGTGGTCAGGAAGCCCTGTTCGACCTAGGTCTCGAAGTTATTGACATTCATTAACAAGACATACCTGGAGTCATGAAGAAATTGATGTTTTTTCGGTGATTTGAACCTGCATCACTCAGTGCTGGAGTCACAGACTTCACTACTTAGCTGTTCAGATCACCATCTAACACCGAAATATGGTGCACCACAGAGTCACCTCACTCTACCTAGTGGATACATGACAAACGTGATCAGTAGTAAGCATTAAGAATCAAACAGCTACATTAGTTATCCAATGGTGACGAATTCATGCATTAATCGAATTCATTTACCATAATATAATTTCAAGATGGCATTCATTGCAAACTGACATCATGTTGATTCAATATCATCTCAGGTTTCCAATCGTTCTCAACATGATGTCAGTTTGCAATTCAACGGTAGAATAGCAGCGTGCTCACCGCGAAACCTGAGGGTACTGGATTCAGTCCCTAGTGGTATCGTGAGTTTGCAATGTTGAGGAAGGAGATTTTCAGTTTCACCTTTGCAAACTGGTCAACTTGTTTTTATGTTTTAAACAGAAACACAGCCATAACTGGCCAATGATTAAGACTTTCCTTTTTTATGGAATAAATTTAGGTTTTAACATTCTCACAGGTAGGTGGTGAACGAACCCGCTAACTAAAGTCTAAAAGGCGGAGATTAAAAAACGAAACAGTGGAATGCAAATTGTTGTCGGTCACAGTAAAATGTGAAGTATTTCACAAGATGTTCAGTGACATCCAGATAGGGAGAGGAGTAGAAGCTCAAGTGTATTAGGGTTATTTTCTAGATAGCCATTTGAAGTGGACACGATCCAAGTTTTACAACTAATCGCTTTTCCACTTAAAGATGTTTAATTCAGTTGAAGTTTGAAATGAATGTTAAAGGCTGCCCAATATTCAAAATGGCTAGTTCCTAACTTTAATAGAAGTAAAAATGATCATTTATCAGTTATTTTCGTCACTAGCAAATATATGATTGACAGTGGTAACCCAAGTATCAGAATGCAACAAGACACCTACCAACAACACTTCGATGTAGACTGACACACAAAGGAATCTGCTACTATATATTTTTTCAGTCAAAATCCATCGGTAAATCATGTTTTAGTTTAGGTCGATTTATTGCCGTCAATTTAATGGATAAATCTGCTAACAATGAGTGAATATGAATCAATAGTGTAGGAGGAATGATTTTTTCGAGATTCCCAACTGTAAAGTTGTGACAGCAAAACCTTTTTTACTTGCGGAAGTGACACAAGATGTAAAATAAGGTTTGCTGTGCAGCTTTGCTCCATTTTATCCTGCTTTGTATACTCAGATTTCCATTTTAAAAAACAGTATGAAAGAAACTTTCCATCACAGGACTGTAGAAATATTGATATACTTTCGAAAACTTTTAAAACTGTTAAAATATCAACTGAAGAACCACCAGGTACCTGAGATCACTGGTACTTGTTTCATCCTAGTATGAGACTCCTCAGCAGTGCGTGCCCATAACGTCACCGACTGATTGGCTCAATGACAACCTAGACGCAGCGAAACGTAGGAGTCATTTGTTTAATCTCTGCTGGGGTTTCTCACTTGTTAGCATTCCTGGACTAGGAAGAAATAGGTCTTTAATGCTCTTAAGTTATCAGTGATCCTTCAAAGAATATCAGTTTATGATGAGTACTAACTTGAAATCTATCAATCCCCATAAACCTACAAATTGAATTGTTTATTTTTACCATCTCATTCTCTCTTTGCACCTGTGGCATAAGTTTGACCAGAAAATTGTCTGGAGCTTTCAATTATTTTATGAATGTACAGCTATGAAAATAAGTCATCAAGACAATGATTATCTTCGCTTTTACCGCCTTTTTTCAATGATAGAATGGGGATTTCTCGTTAATTTTATTATGTGGAACACACCGGATGTGTAATTCACGCTTTACTGCTTCATTGGGGAGTCAGTCTGCTTATTCTGATCCCGAAGAACTATAAAGTGTCGGTGAATTTAGCGGTAGAATCCTTACTGCATCACCAGTTAACTGCTCAACGCTAATATGCTTATGAGTGTAAAGCAAACGAATTACCTTTAGGACGAAAATCATAGTGTATATTCCAGCTCAATGCAGTTTACTTTGTTGTTCTTACCAGATGGCATCCATTGGGTAAAATTGATAGATGAAGATATAGATTCGTAATTCACTTAAACTGTAACTTTAATAACTTTTGGAAGAGATCCTAAAAGCGTTAGGTGGAAGATTTCTTCATATCTAAATATATAAGTTTCTGGTCAGTCCCTGATGAAAATGGTGGGCCTCAGTTTTGAAAATTCTGTCAGTCACGAAGCTTATTACATCATTCAGACTCAGTAATTAGGTCAGACACACCCATGTGACCATAAAGATGAGAGACTCATAGTACCAGAGAACTTTTATTAATGTGAATTCAATGGGGATGATTGGCAGAAAGAATATGAGCTGTGTTAAGAGTTTTCATTTTGTAAAAATGAACCTTTCTGGTTACACTGGGATTAATTTAAAACTTGGAAAGTGAATTATTTGCCTAGTGTCAAGATTATTGTCTTGTACATCTTAAAAGTTTTGGTGTAATAATATAATCTAAGAAATCATTTCATAGAATAAACATCGTAAATCACGCTGAACGGATATTTTCAGTTAAAGAGTCACACACCTACCTATTGCTCTGAAGATATATGTTTTTTAAGGAATCATTAAAAATGGAGAAAAATGTGGGTTACCTGACAGTCGAAAGGAAAGTGTCTCAACTCCAAAGTCTCGTGGAAAACACCTTTGATTCTTCGTTTTTCAACAAGATATGCTTCAAAATGTGGTTCAACAAATTCTACTTCATGACTGACAATTTCAATTGGTTCACCCTGGGCATTGTCAATCAATAGTCTAGGATTCCAGAATTCATCATCTTGTAATTTCAGCTGAAACGTATAGAAACATATTTATAATGAAGATTAGAAAAAAAAGGTGCCTAAAAAGTTAGCATTACTAAAATGTTAGTTTTTGAAGAAAAAATTAACTCAGCAATGTGACTTACAAGCGGTTTATTCGCACCTTATAGAGGAGAGGTTGAATTTTGAGGGAGTTGTGGAGATTTGGAAATATTTGAAGTTGTTATTCATCGTAGACTGACGTCAGTTGGAGGAACAAAGGAAACCTGAGAGCACTGGACAACTGCTTCATCCCAGTATGGGACCCCTCAGCAGTGCGCACCCACGACCACACCACGGATCGAACCCACAACCTTCAGGTTCCGTGGCCAGCACTTTACCACTGAGCCACTGAGTCAGAATCCAATGCTCCATATTTCCAACTTCTGTTAGCTCACGAGAAGCAATTGTTATCTAGGGAAGTATTATCAATATCTTCAAGATGAAAATTGTTGTTGATGAATAGGTAAATTTCTTAAGAGGAAATACAGTTAACAGAATGTCGATCTTTGAAGAAAGCTTAGGTAATTCTCAAATCATGTATACAGTTGAAAATGATGTTTATTCATTTCGTCAGTATTTAGACTAGTTTTTACTAATAAAGCTCAATTAAAATGGATGTTTGATGTCATCAGTTATCTGGTAAACACTATGAGATAATTATTTCTTAGTATTAAGTCTCACAGTTCAAGAGGTTCCATTCTGAAGATTTCATTCCTATGGGTTTTATTTAAGTGCATAGTGGTTTTCAATAGTTATTCAGCTGCCTAGAAATCAATCAATTTACCTCCACCTCATAAACATCTAAGTTAAACTGATAATCGCTTTTCGTTCTCTTTTCTGTCAATCCGAAGTAGTTAGCCTTCATTAGAAATCGATGAATACATCGTTTCTAAAGGTCAAACTCATTAAAAACCTGAACTCGCAATTAATATTACCACTGTTTCCTTCACGTTTCAATTTCTTCATATGAAACATATGTGATAAAACTATGCGAACATAGAATTAGGTTAATTCTGATCTGCATGTGACAGCCTAATCTGTTTCGTAGAGGAAAACACTTCTTCATTGATTATTCTGTCCATCATTTCAAAAAATTGTAGACTAGGACAGTTCAGATTTTATCAATATTTTTATCCTCATGTTTATTGTAGAAATTTCAACAAGTTTTTCCAGTATTTCGCATTAAGAACAAAAGTAGCTAAACAGAAATCTGCGTTATAGAAAGAATGTATTTAAAAAATCCCAATGAGTGGCAAGAAGAAATTAATTTCTGGTGTTTCTCCAACATACGAAAAACTCTTCTGCCGACATAGCATTTTTAAATGGTAAATCGAGACAAAACACATCACCTTATTCATATATGATTATAACATGGGAATACGTGTCATCATTGTCAGTTATCAGTCCACTAGTTCAACTTGGACATGTGAATGTGCATGCACATGTGAATCGGTGTGAAAGTATGCGAAAGATGCTACAGATGAAAAATTCATTTTCCTTCTTTGTGTGTCTACCTACTTTAGTGATGATGACTAGTAAGTGTGACGAGTTATTATTTCTTCAGACATACTGTCCAATGTAGATTGTATAGTTAGACCTTGGTTTCTGTTGTATGAATGATGATTCAAGACGTAATGTGAAATTAGAACAAGACATAAAAGCGAACAATATTGTTTTGAATTAGATCCTCTTCATGCTTTACTCGAATACAAATAGCTTGATATATAAAATTAAGCCAATCATGTAGATGTGTCGGTTGATGTGATAAATGTTGAATATAACGATGGAGATAATAATACACATAATAATAAAATTTCATTGTAGACTGACATCAGTTGGAGGAACAAAGGAAACCTGGGAGCAGAGCCTGATGGTCGTGAGGACAGTTACTCAACAATGACATTGGGTGGCGGTTGTGTTATATCGTGGGCTAACATAAGTTGGAAATATGGAGCATTGGATTCTGACTCAGTGGCTCAGTGGTAAAGTGCTGGCCACGGAACCTGAAGGTTGTGGGTTCGATCCGTGGTGTGGTCGTGGGTGCGCACTGCTGAGGGGTTCCATACTGGGATGAAGCAGTTGTCCAGTGCTCCCAGGTTTCCTTTGTTCCTCCAACTGACGTCAGTCTACGATGAATAACAACTTGAGATATTCTAAATCCCCAAAACTCCTTCAAACTTCAATAATGCGATTGATAAAAGTGATAACGTCGACTGAAGCACATACAATATGGATGATAATGGTGATAAGAACGAAGAAAGAGGCATGAAAATGTGGACACTCTGGTAACCAAAGTGGGTCAAAAGCTTGTGAAAATAGAAGTCACGCAATAGTGAAGGTCTAGCTAGATAAGTGGATAAACAAAGCCTAGACAAATACAGTAAGTTACGAAAGGGGTGAAGAATAAGAAGAGGTGTAGGAAAAAGTAATAATGATAATAATAATAATAACTGAATGATAAGGTTGTTGACTAAGTATTCCCTGGCCAAGGGAGATATCAGGCATGCACACACTTCTTCTGGACACAAAGGCCAGGATTATTAGCTCGAATTCTCACAGCTTCTGCTCTGTGTAAAAGATGAGATTGAATACCTTTGAAAGATGAGATGCTATGTGGTGTATAATCGTGAAAGCATGTGAAATACCTCACCTATCCATCTCTCAGTGTAGCCTGAAAATACCTTCTGAATAACTTTAGTATTTCACTCACAAACTCCTGAATACGGTAGATGATCACACGAACAGAAATCGCCAACCCGATTTGTAGTTTATCCAGTTGTACAGGGTCATTCGGAACTCGTCTTGTGTAGTTTGCATGTTCTGCAGCACGAGTGATGAAAATGTAACACGATGATACACAAACACAATGATCATCACAATCGATGCAGCCTAGTCTGTTGACACAACTCTGTGTTGAGATAGAAGGGACTCTATCTTTCAAGTGAACTGATGCACACGTGGTTATCTTGGAGAAGTTTTATTCTCTCAAGAAGTGACTTCCACGAGATTGAGAAACCCGGAAATTCAATTTTCCACCTCACTTGCATCTTAAAGATAAATTTCCTTTGTGATCTGTTCACCCAATACCCAACTTATTCAATTGTGTCTGGTCGAATTTCTATCCTCAACTTAGTATAAGTGTGTTTGCTCATCAACAGTCCTAGGCTGTGAATTGATTTATTTAGAGCACAGACACTGTATAAACTGAGCAGCATGGGATGTGTCATACAAAGTGGAGTCATATTAAGAAGCCATTGGAAATGGATAGAAGGATGCAAGTAAAACTATGACTTGCTAATTGGAGAAGTAGTTTCAAAACTACTGATAGAGTGGCATTCAGGAATAGAAGAAGAAATAAAATGTAAGCATAATGATGATTGGTTTCAGTTCTCGACCATGTCTGCAAGGACCTGAAGCTGGTGATTTGCTTGATCTGTGAGATGTTAACCTAACAGAAATGTTGTTCATCCAATAGTGTGATGTCATATATTGGCTTGTTTTCCATCTCTTCTAATCATTCATGGGGGAAAGTAATTGGTGAGTAGTGTGAAAGCCACTTGGATAACATTCATTACATATGTTCATTCTGCCGAAGAAAGTCTTCCAAATGATCTCCATCACGCTCGAAATCATGCCACCTCAGCTCAGTATTACTTAAATGTTATTACCATTGTATGTGTACAGTCTTACGGAGATGTTGGTGACAGAAACACTATCGTTGGACACACTCAAGTCAAGTAGGCCAAGTTTTACAGGCGTAGAACATAGTTGTCCGTACTGATGCTTTGTGTACCGGCTTTTAAAGCAAGATTAGCGTATTGAAGGTGCTGAAGGTGAATGATATTGGTATATTTCATTCTAACTTTTGATAAACAGTCGTGTCATACCTTCATGGGAACTGAAATAACTACCAAAGTACAAAATCTTTACGACATTTCTAACGATTCAACGGCTAGAGTAATTTTAGGTATAAACTTGTAGAAGCACTTTTCATTTTGACATTGCGAAGCAAGTAGTACACTTGGGGACATTGACTGCTAAGTAATCGAGATTGACAGACAGTAGCCTGTATATTTTCTCACACTACAACAATATTTTGTTCTCACTTGAGGTGGATAAGTCTTTCTTCTGGTGATGAGTCTACTCCACCACCACACACCTCCTTCAAGGCTGCCTGGAGGCTCTGACATTCCACGGTTCACTGCTAAGCTGTCTCTCGTAAGCTATTTTCTGCGTATGATGGCGTGTTGCACTTTTGTTCACCTCATCTCCCTCTTAGGTAGACGATTTCCTTTCGAATGTCATTGCTACCAATTAAAGTTTAAATACTGATGACAAAAGTACAACTATGTTAGAGCAATGTATTGAACTTCATTGCTTTTGAAGAGTTTGTCATGAATGTAGTTTATGCGAAATGAACATCATGTCAGACTGAAGTATCTTAATTGTACATATAACCGAAGGTGAGCAGACAACTGAAATCAAAAGCTGATGACTTTATGCAATACTGTTCAGATTTAATCTCAGCCAGACGAACATCATAATAACCTCTTTTTAAATTTTCTTGTTTGCTTTATCTTCGCTTTGTTTTGTCTGATTGCTTTCTGCAGGATATGATCACATTCATTCCGTTTCTTTGCCTTTAGTAATTTTGAATGGTATTCCAGGGTGAAATGTAGCTAATTGGAGGCCTATGCAGTTATCTTAAGGCTTGTTAGATGATACATTTTTCTGTCTGATTTAGAAAGTGGGAAGTAGAGATAATTTTTTGACTAGTATATGGATGATAACTATTTTGTATTCTTTGAGATTTGAAATTCGTTTTTAACATCTTACTATCAGGCTACGTAATTTAATTAACACCTTCATAAAGTTGTGGAAAGTGACGCTGACCATATAAGCAAAAGTCAATAAAGACAGATATTAAGTACTTATTGAAGTTATTTCTGGTGTTTATTGCTTTACAATTAAACCATCCAGGTCAAAAA